TATTCATGCTTGTAATCTGTATTTTATACTGTCAAGCAAGTAGAATATGTGGAGTTAAAGTATTCATAAAGAATTATGTGCTATGTAGAAACCATCTGAATATTTCATCTTTTAATATTTATTGCCATGGCCAGTAGACTTAGCTGGAATTATGTAACTGTTGGGTCCTGCTACATACGTACAGAACTATTCATTTGTATTTTGAGTTTGATCAAATTTTGGCAATGGTGCTTGTTACTAATTAACTCTGTTTCAACATAGTTAATTGTTCCCCATCTGAATAATAATAATTTTCCATTAAGTATGATCTTTCAATTTAACTTCTGTCACAGGAGGTGGATGACTTTAGTCCATCCTATTTTAATGTAAGTTTCACGTTTTGTTAGTTTTTCCTGCTGTTGTTGAACAGAGTGTATTTTGTTCTTTCGCTCTTTCTCTCACTCCCCTTTTCTATTTCTTGTGCTAGTTTCTTCCATGCACCTCACCCCATACAGTTTTCTTTTAAATCTGTCAAACTTTAAATTGTATATTATTTTTCAATAGATTTCTATAGGCTTGCTCTTGATTCTTGTGGTGCTTCTGTGCTGAAAGCAGTAGTGCTTAGACATCTTCACTCCTACGGTATCATTCTGTACAAGGAGTGGAATTAATAATTTAAATGCTGTATTAGCTTAAGATATGTTTATTGTTTTCGTAGCTTTTGAAGACTTGACTTAGATTATAGTACCTCTCCCTTTAACCAAAGCCTGACTGCATCATGATTTTTGTTCCTGTGTATTAGGATTAGCATTTGTTTGTTACATATTTGTTGACATTTCTTGTTACATTTATCTTCTTTTTTTTGTTCTCATGTAGCAGCAGAAAGAGAGCACATCTTACTGATCAGTTAATGAGCTTACATTCGGGCTGTACATCTCAGTGTCTGGAGTGGTTTTTTGCCTTAAAAGTATCCACAGGAGTATTTTACTTTGCCTTCTGATTGTGTGTATGGAATAAAACTGGATTTCTGAAGGCATTGTGGAGAACTTGGAAAGTTTCGGTTGTTAAAAATTAAAATCTGTCAGCTGAGTCTCTTGTTGAATCTCGAAGTAAATTTCAAAGAGTTGCCCTTTTTCACAATGCTTGTCATCTTCCATTGCATTCCAAAAGAAGGCAGTGTCTCTGCAAAAACAAATCTAAACAGGGTTTTGAAACCCAGTCATTGGTGATCACCTTACTGGCTTATGAATTTTCATACTTGAACATGTTCTCGATGTAGCTGGCCTTCATGTTGCTGTTCTTAGCTGTCACACAAGTGAACCAAAGCAGCTGATGTAACTGTCACATGAAATCATGGAGCCTTTCATTTGGCCGGAATCGGGTTAAAAACAACTCCCCCCCAAATCTTAGATCCTACTGAGTGTTCAGCACAGACTGTGTTGACAGAGGTAGGGATGCACAGCTATACTGGCAGTCCAGAAGAGCAGAAACTTCTAGCCATGGGATTTAACAAGATAATTCAGTTTTATTTAGGTAATGGTAAAGCAATAACTATTGTACAACAGGGTTGTTTAGCATTGAATTTTCTCTTCTTGAATCACAGGTTTTGTTTTTTTACTATTTTTTTTTTTTTCTTTCCAGTAAAGCTTACCATTATACCTAAAAATAAAATAAAATAAAATAAAAAAATAAAATAAAACCTTCCAGGAGTGATCTGCAAATTTGTATTATATAGGAAGTTTAAAATGTTTGGTATTCTTTGTGGCTTGTGGTCTCAGAAACAGGCTATTTTGTTGAACTTCTTTAAAATTAATTTTTGATCCTATATGATTAGATGTATTCTATGGAAGATTAAATCCTATTCAGTGTTCTCTATAATTCTGAGATGGATAAGCTGTTAGGTACCCTATTATGTAGTCTTGGCTGTTAGGTGCCAACCCAGATGCTCTCTCACTTCCCCTGCTCAACAGAATAGGGGAGGAATTAAGGTGAAAAAGCTCATGGATCAAGATAAATACAGGGGTATCACTTACCAATAACCATCACAGGCAAACCAGACTGGACTTTGGGAAAATTAATTTATTGTCTAGTTAAAAATAGAGCAGGATGGTGAGAAACAGACAAAAATGAAGAAGCATTTTTCCCCAACCCCCCTTCTTTCCATGCTTGACTTCACTCTTCCAAGTCTTCTACGTTCCCTTTTCCCCATCAAGCAGTGCAGGGAAGATCAGAAAGAGGGGCTGTGGGCAGTTCCTAACCCTTCATCCCTCCCAGTCCTCTCTCCCACTTGCCCTGCTGCAATGTGGGCCCTAACCAAGGGCAGCAGTCCCTTGTGAGTCCCTCCTATGGGGGGCAACTCAAGCACTGCAGCGTGGGCACTTCTCCTGAGGGGCAGCCCCTCAGGGGTAGGCTGCTGCAGTGTGGATTCCCTGTGGGGTCCTAGGTCCTGCCAGGAGCCTGCTGCAGTGTGGGTATCTGACGGGGTCCCATGGGCTGCAGGAGGACAGCCTGTGTCACTGGTTTTCCCTGTGGATGGCAGGGTAATCTGCTCCAGTTCCTGAAGCACCTCTTCCCTCTCTGCTGCCTTTGACCTTGATGTCTGCAGGGTTGTTTTGCTTGCATTTTTCTCACTCTTCTCTCTCATAGCTGCTGTGCAGCAGTTTTTACCATTCCCTAAGTTATCAGAGAGGCACCAGCAGTGTCGCTGATGGGCTCAGTGTTGGCTGGAGGTGAGTCCATTTTGGAGCTGGCTGGAAGTGACCCTGTTTGCCCCAGGGGCAGCCCCTGGCTTCTTACCACAGAGGCTTCCCTGCAGCCTTCCCTGCTACCAAAACCTTGCCACATAAGCACAATACAGATGTTCAGTTTAAAATCCGGACCTTAGATGCCAATTAAGCCTAAAAGTTTGGTTATATGTCAGTTGGACAGTTCAGCTTGACCATAATATGTGAGCTTCAGTCTTTGAATTATTTCAAAATGTGCTCCAAATGGGACCGTATCACCACATCCTAATAAAGTTTCCTCTGCAGTGGATCAGACAGCTATCCAGCACTGAAGAGAGGAGTTTTGTTCCCCAGTTCCCTTAGTTCCTGTTCCTTCCTTTGAGTTTGTTTTGATGATTGTCATGTGCTTTTCAAAAACAAATAGACTTGCTTTTTTGGAGTTGCTGAGTTTGGTTGATCCAGCAAAGTATCTGATGCTTTTCTATGTTCTTGGGTTGAGGGGAGCAGGACTCCCTTCTGCTGTGAAGAGCTGTTACAATTATTTTAGCTGTGATGTGATACATTGAAAAGCTAGAATGGAGTATCTACATCAAAGAGCAAGAACAGTGAACTTGGTTACATCTTTGGGGAGTTATAGACTTACTGTTGTAATGGTGCATTAAAAATTATAGCAGAGATAAAGGTGGAATCATATGTTCCTGGGAATATTAGAAAAAAGTGACTTCAGTGAATATTGTTGCATCCATCCCAGCTTTCTCATTGTCCATTTTTATTACAACTGGGAGGTCGTAGCACTGTGTTCAACTGCTGTGTGTATATAGGTACAGAGAAGATGGCAGAAACCGTGTTGGCTTTTGTGTAGCTTTTAGAATGCATTGCGTGTCATGCTTGTTGAATGATGTCTGATTATTTTCATTCTACTCATTCTCCCCATTTCCTAAAATAAAGATGTGTTGTGCTTTTTGTATTATTTGCAAAAATTACTTACAAAATAAAATGTTAACATTTTCTTCTAACAGACCAGTACATATAAAGCAAAATCTGTAATTTAGTTTGCTACTGTGCAATGTGGACAGAAGAACACAAAACACGTTGGGATATTTTTTGGGGATGGGTGGATCAGTATATTTCATGTCTCAGCTCTCCCTCAGTGTAGAAGGACCTTGGCTTGGGCCAGTAAATCTCAGTTATGGCAGGTTGCACTATCCATGGTTCCAGCACATCTTTTGTGGATTCTGATTGGCTTTTATTTCTGATGTTCTAGTTCTGAGAAGTTTGGGTGCATGGACCCTTCTTGCATAGGAGATGAAGAAGGTGACTGACCTGGTATTCACAGTTCAGCAAAGTGGTGACTGTGAGAAGCATTTCAAACAACTAAAAATATTAAGGCAATGACAAATTTTATTTATTTTGTTACGTTCTTGACTTCTAACTGCCCTGGTACAGTCTTTTTCTAAGTCCTGATTATCCCAACACATGTCATCTATTTTTCTTTCAGTCTTTTGTATTAATTGCTGTTATGTAAGTAAAGGTTTCCTTCAAAGTTCTTTCTCTGCAGCAGTGGAGCTTTGCATAGCTTAGGATAGATTAGGTGGAAGTCTGCATTTGCATCAGTTTAAAGGGGCTGAGAAAGCAAGTAACAAAGTTGCTTTTGTACTTGGAATTTAGGAAGAAGATTCTGTTCCTTATCTGCAGTCTTTTGCTTAAGTGTGGCTTTATGGCATAGAGGAAAGACATCCACTTGGTCTGCTTGGCTCCTGTCCCAACTCCATCCTCTGTCTGTTGCTTGTGTAGCAGTACTGGCAAATTAAAATTTGTGATGTGTAGCACTTCAATGGCAATGCTGTTTAGACTTTTGGGAATATTGTGCTCTATTTAATCATCTGGAAAACACCAGGTCCCCTTCAGATGTCTTCTCAGAGAGTGTAAAAATCCAAGCTGGCTAGGATTTATTATTACCAAGTGATGGAAACAGTTCGTACAGTAAGATAAGTTTCTTGGTTGCATCTCTGAGTGTAAAGATGAAATACATTCAGGGATGAGGAATTTTAGCTTTTTGGGAGGTTTGTGCTTCTTGAAAGTTTTATTGTAGCATAGGACAATCAACTCATGTATCAAAACCATTGCTGTCTGCCACAATATAAATTACTGAAAGCAATCAGAATACTTTGTCCAATTTTTTTGTTGTTTGTATGGGTTTTGTTGGTATATTTCTAGTTGGATTTCCTTCCTAGAAGTGGGACCAATAAGATAAACAAACCAGCTAACCAATACTGACTTCTTAATTTCTTTCCACAGTTTCAAAACGGTGAAATCATGGCTCATTCAAAGACGAGAGCCAATGATGGAAAAATCACCTATCCTCCAGGAGTCAAAGAAATCTCTGATAAAATATCTAAAGAAGAGATGGTGAGAAGGCTGAAGGTTAGTAAGCAAGCAGCTGTTTACAGACTGAAGTTTCTTGTCCTACAGCATTCAATGATCCTATTACTGTATGTTCTATCCGAAAGGATTTTTTTTTCCTTTGGGCTTTACGTTTTCTATGCGAAGGGGAGGAACTTGTTTGTTGTAGTGCCTTCTGTTCTACCACTGCCTTGAAGTGACTTGTCCAAAAATATTTAAATGCGTTTAAAAAATGCAAATGGAAATAAGCTGTATTAATTTCAAATACTGTTTCAATTTTATTTCAGCTCCTACAGTAAGTCAGTACATTTAGAGAAGAAAATACTGGAAAACACTGAAATGAGAGTCTAAGTTTGGGAATAAGATGGGTGATTCGGAATACATTCTTGCTTATGCTTTTTGGATTGATTACAAAACACTTTATTCTCATTACTGTAGCTTTATCATAATGAGGGTAGTCTTTGATTATACTGTGCATTTCTGTCTCTTGAATTTTTGAACCACTTTATTTGGCCTAGCTGTACAGGAAGGTTGGAGAGATTTGGGGGATAATTATGTTACTACTATGCTCTTTATTTCCCCATGTGCTTGCACAGAAAGGCCAGTCTGTTAGTAGTGTGCAGAAGCAATGCCTGCAGCTCAGGCTGCCCTCTGAGGCAGGGGGGAACGGATGTTAGAGAGGAGCCTTAAGTATTCTAACAGCTGGAAGAGCTTAATTTGGAGTTTGTTTTCTTAAGCAGTTTTAAGTCAGCTGGAACTACTGGTAAACGAACAAAACCCAATAAAACCCCAAAACAGAAGCATTCCTTGTCCCCTCCCACCAGTAACCTGTCTGTGCTTGGGAACTGGGTTGGTAGACTACTGCATTCTATGATGTTGAATAGAAGATGACATTTATAACTTTGTCTATGCATGATGAAAACTTGTTTGGAATGTTTAATTTTTTTTAGCTGGTGAAAATGTACACAGTTCTTACTGATAGTCTTTCTCCTATAGTTGCATCTCATTTTTGGCCTTGAATGACCAATCCCTTCTCTTCTGTCATCTTGATCTGTCTTGCAGGAGAAGTGTACTTTGCAGGATGTCTTGCATTTCTTGTCAGCTGTTTATTCTGGCTGTGCATTCATCAGTACACAGGCAGGGAGAAAGCCACACAAGACTCCTTTTATGAAGGGCTGGATGATTTAGTCTGTACCACAAGTGTATAAGACCTATAGTATAAACACAGTGGCATGTGTTAAAGAACAGTCATTGATAATTAAGTGAATGACTAGACTCTTCATTTCCCTGGCTGCCACATACATGTAAGCATTAGGGCAGGAGCACTTTTCTGTGGATTTTATTTTGATTTACACAAGCAGATTGTCTGCTGTTTGTTAGTGACAGTATAGGTGTATAAATACAGATTACTGGGAAATCTGAAAATCAAATGGAAAATACGCGTGGTGGTTTTCTATTATTAGCATAACTTGCCCCAGAAATTTTTTTGCATTTGTGTTCCATGCCATCTCAAAGTTATAGTGGATTTGGAAAGGAGAGAGACAGTAAATGGTCAGTCGTGAACTAGCACTGAAGATGGAAAGAAGTTGATAAACGCTTGGAAATGATGAATAGTGTGAGGAGAGCATTATATCCACAGTTAATACACAAGAACCAAGACATCATCTAATGGAATATATTGCTTTCACACCAGTGCTCTAATAACATGCCTTTCTGTAAGCTTTCGAGTTTAGTTATTGCTGTAGAAAGATGTAGGAAAAATTGAATGGGGGGAGAAATACGGGCCACATCTGGAAGATGAAGTTCTGAGAGTATATTAATCATGGTGGTCTAAGTGTGATTTCAGGCTCAGGAATCCTCTAACCTGTTGTTACGCAGGAAGCTGAAAGGTATGCTAGGAGAGCTAACTTGCTAACTTGTTTTTCATTGTTTTTTCTTGAACACTATCCTGGATTGCTCTGGAGACAAGATGACTGATTTTTGTTATCCTATATGGAAGTTCATGTTGGTCAGGGAGGAGAAACTGGAGGTTCATTTCTAGAGCAGACAAAACCCATACTAGTTGCAAGAACTCTTATGACATCTGAATATTTATTCATTGCTTTGTTAATGAGATAAATCTTAACTGCTATCCATAGAATAGAAAACATTTCTAATTTTTAAATTAATAATGTATAAGGGCACCAGTGTACTTCAAATGGGTCATCTTATGTCTGGCTGGGGAGGACTTCTGTTTTCTCACAGTAGAAGTAGTATGTGTGCATAAACTACTAATCTTCTGTGCCTTTCAGATTCTCAGATGTTTGAAAACTTTACAGCTGCTGTGATCCTAGTTATATAGAAGTCTTTAATTTTTTAAATTTGTGTTTTATTGCTACCTGACCCATTATAGTAAATATTTTTGGGTTTTGGAGGGGGAGAGAGGATAATTTAAAAATAAAGCAAGCTATAGGAAATTATTGGTAGTGTTTTGGAGTTGTGGGTTTCTTGAGGAACTTCAACTGACATCGCTACTGTTGAAAACCATCCCTTCCTACACTGGTTAAATAGATGGGAGTTTTGGCTTTAATTGTTGGGACTGTGTAATTAAGTCTTTATTTCCATTTTGTTAATTTTAACAACAGTTGAACTCCTTAAAATAACTCACTCTTGTGATTCAAATAAAAAATCGGAGAAAAGCATCATTACTTTTGTTTTGTCAATAGGTTCTTCTCCTTTGGTTTATTTTTAATACAAGGATTTTCACCAACTAGCAGTTACTAATTACAGCTTTTGTTGCTTTTGTTCTATTTAGGATGTCAAATACTTGGTGTCCCAGACTTTTTTTATCTTCCACAACTTTAGTCTATTGAATGCTAATAATACTAATGGGGATCTTGGACAACATACATGCTGCTGGGCTGCACTGGTTTTACATGTGCTTCATCTGAAAGTGCATGCTGTGCTTCTGGAGAGCACAGGGGGATAAATGTGTCCTTAGAGCAGTAGTGGAGAAAAACTTGGAAATTGAGAGAATAGAGAGAAAATTAATTATACCCTAAATACTTGAGGGAGAAAGAAGTACTTTGAATGAAGCTTTGCTGTTTTGTAAGTTTTTCAGTGAATTGCTGTAACAGTGAATGCTACTGGTGGTTTTTTGACCTAGACAACTTGATTATATGGTTTCTCACAAAGATGCATGAAATACCATAGCTAAACTTAAGTAACTCTGAGATTGTGTGCTGGGACAGCTCATAGGATCTTACTAGGTCCTTCCTGTGCCCTGAAAAATGAGACACTGGTTAGTCAAATAAGTACCACTTAATTCCTGATAATACTACTGAAAGAAGTTGCACAAAACTGGAAGAGGAACTTTCAGTAAGGACTCTGTTACAAAGAGTACTTCATTTTATGTACTGATGTCTCTCTTTTTAGATGGTTGTGAAAACTTTCATGGATATGGACCAGGACTCTGAAGAAGAAAAGGAGCTCTACTTAAATCTTGCATTGCATCTTGCTTCAGATTTTTTCCTCAAACATCCTGATAAGGACGTGCGTTTGTTGGTAGCCTGTTGTCTTGCTGATATCTTCAGAATTTATGCGCCTGAAGCTCCATATACTTCACCAGATAAATTAAAGGTAAATTGAATTAATCTCTTTTTCTACACCAGGTTTCTAAACTTGAATAATAGAAGTTATAATCAATTATAATTTTTCCTCCCTTTATTTCTGCTTCAACCTAAGCAATCCAAGCTTTTCACATGATTCTGGGGTAGAGGTGTTTGACCAGGTCAAATGTTCGTCAGATAAAGTGATATATTGTACCTCTGTCAAAAACTTGAAGAGTTTTGGATTTATATTGATAATGAGTATTTTATTGAACTGTCACTGGGATTTGCAAATAGTTAATTACTTTAGAAATACTGATATCTCTATAGCTATTATCATAATCTTTTGCAAGATAGCCAATTCCTTCAATTTGGAAAACACCCCTGCTGTTTCTGATTAATAAAGCAGGAGCTGATTATTGTATTTTGATAGATAGATAGATGTGTTCATCTTTGAAACAAAGAAAAAATATTATTGTACAGAGGATAATGATTTCAGCTGTGAATTGGAAAATTCTGCAATTACAAATATCACTGATCCCACTAGATGGAGATGGTTGATAGAGAAATGCCAGGTTTTAAAAGGCAGTGTATATCTGCCCTATTTGTTTCAGAAAAGTAGGTTTTTAAATTGTATTGTGTTTATTTTTTAATAGAAATCTATCTTTCTTTACAACCCAAAATCAGACTATTTCCTTTACACAATCTGAATCTAGCATGATGAGCTGGGCCTTACAGAAGATCTTGCAGGAGACTGAAACACTGAAAAATGTGTAATTTGTTGTCTCCCTGATTTAAGAGTGTGTGTGAAATTTTTATATTGGTTTGTGTTTTGGTTTTCTCCACAGCAGGATAAAAAGGTGGTTATGGTGGCAGCTATGTCACTCAAGAAGAAATCACTCAATTTCTGGTCTAGTGGTTGCACAAGAAGTGCTTCATAAGAAGGGCATACAGTACAGTTGCAACTGTAGTGCATCCTGTGCTACTACGTATATTGGAGAGATACCTAGGGATTTCTGTTAGCTGTATTTTCTTAATCAAATCTGTAACAATTCAGAACAACACACTATCTAGTTGTCTTATTGATTACACCGCCTTCAGCTGGAGGCAGACATTAACTTTATCTACTCTGCTATATTCAAGTTTGATTGCAGGCATCTTGATTTCTACTTCAGTTTTGAGGGTATGCTTTCCTTTGCTTGTTAGGTAGGCTTAGAGTTTTTTTCTCTTTTTGAGTGGGGCTACTAATTATAATGTTCCTCCTTACAGAACTTACAGTACCAAATGCTACTAAGTTTCAAATGTTGTAGTCTATACTGTTGGAAAGTTTACCTTACTGATCTCATACCTGCAGTGTCAGCATACTGCTGCCACTTGGATAGAGCTCTGAACAGGCTCCACTGTCAGCATCAGCATTCAGTTCTCTAATGTGCAGATTTCAGAATTCAGATTTCCATTTCTTGATGTAGATTTCTAAACCCATTTTGAGAAATAAAGAAAGGGCAAACAATAGAGACCTTTGCCTAGGGCTACTGAGGTAGGCTTTTGCAAACCCATTTCTGCTGAACGTGGCTCTTGTGGCTGCAGGACAAGCTCCAATACAAATGTCGAAGAGTTCCCCCCACTTTATGACAAAGAAGTAGGAGGAAGAGTGATTCCTCTTGGGTTATATCTTGGCACTATTCTTATCCAATATTTAATACCACATCCATACTGCAACTTTGAGATTCTACTAGTATGTTTAGCACCAGAGTTAAAGATGGCAAAGGGATTTGTCTCACCTCAAAATTCTTACCTCTGTGCCTGGTGAGATCATGGAGTAGATCCTCCTGAAGGCTTTGCTAAGACATGGAAAATGAGGAGGTGATGGATGGCAAGCAGCATGGCTTCACCAGAGCGGGAGGGTTCAGCACTGGAGGGAAGGGATGCCATCTGGAGGGCCCATGCCAACCTCACAAAGTTCAAAGGCCAAGTGCAGGTCCTGCACCTGAGTTGAGGCAAGCCTAAGCACAAATACAAGCTGGGCAGAGTATGGATTGAGAGTAGTCCTGAGGAGAAAGACTTGGGTTTGCTGGTTCACAAAAACCTCACCATGAGCCTACCATGTGTGATTGCAGCCCAGAAAGCCAACTGTATCCCCAGGCGCATCAAAAGAAGCGTGGCCATTAGGTCAAAGGAGGTGATTCTTCCCCTCTGCTCTGCTCTAGTGTGACCCCACCTGGAGTACTGCATCCATCTCTGGAGCTCCCAACATAAGGAGGACGTGGACTTGTTGGAGCAGGTCCAGAGGAGGGCCATAAAGATCATCACAGGGCTGGAACACCTCTCCTATGAGGACAGGCTGAAAGAGTTGGGGTTGTTTAGCCTGAAGAAGAGAAGGCTTTGGGGAGACCTTCCTGCAGTCTTCCAGTATCTGAAGGGACTTTTTACAAAGAGCTTGTAGTGATAGGATGAGGGGTAATGCCTTCAAACTGAAAGAGGAGAGATTAGATATAAGGAAGTTGTTCTTCCTTATGAGGGCACTGAGACACTGTCACAGCCTGCCCAGGGAAATTGTGGATGTTCCATCTCTGGAATTGTTCAGGGTCAGGCTGGATGGGGCTTTGAGCAATGTGGTCTAGTGAGAGGTGTCCCTGTGGGTGGCAGATGGGTTGGAATTAGAGGATCTTTAAGGTCCTTTCCAACTCAAACCATTTGACTCAAAGTATAGAAGAGGATAATTTCTTGAGCATGGAGAACGTAAGGTTTTGCACTTGCTTCAGTCTCTTTGGATCTCTCTAACTTATACATTGTACAAGTGAGATATTGAGAGGAGGGGTCAGAATTCCATGTTTCCTTCCTTTGTGTATCCTCAGTATAAGTTTTACATTCCTCACTGAGTGTTGGAAGAGCTTTGAGAAGAGGAATGGAAAGAGCCACAAGCACGCTAAAAGCAGAGCTGGAGCAGGATTGTTCTTTGGGGATCTGGGAACTTCTGACTTTAAGTCTTCCTCAGTCTGGGGAAATCCTAGAGCCCAAATCTCATTTTCTTCTTTGTGTCAAAGAAAACCACTTAGGCAAATGGACTGTCTGCCTGACTCAGCTGAAATGGAGATGTTTAAGGGTGTGTATAGTGGCAGAATGTCAGCTATCCGAATGCGTTCTGTGGTGAAAGCCATGGCTCTGGTGCTTACTGAAGCTGTTACGTGGGTAATTGGTATCAGGACAAGTGTTCACAAAAAAGCATTCAAAGTTCTTCCTAAAGCTAAAGTAAGCACTTTTGGTTTTAGAGTCTGGGTTCTAATGTAGACTTGCTTTATGGAGTCTGATGTGAAGCCATATTGTCCAGTTTGTGAAAGGGCTGCAGCTAAGAAATTGCAACAAAATTTGTTTTAGCCTGTGTTGCATCTATAAATGCATGTTCAAATTGTATCTTCTGTATGCCCAAAAAGAGGATGTCCTAGATATTAAAAATTGGTGAGTACTTTTGGGTTTGTCTTGCTTTAGAACAGGAATAGAAAAAAGTAGAATTAGGAGTAAATTATTACTTTTTAAAATCATGCCACTGTTATTGGTGAAGCATTCAGATGGTAGATGTACTGTACATGTGTGCTGTTTGTTAAGGTTCGTATTCGTATGCAGTACAGTGATGAGTGCTTCATAAATCAGTTTTCAGTTGGGTCTTTGAATCTCACTGAGTAAGTTAGTGTTGCATGCTGAGCTGTAGGATAAACAGTAAAGGTACTTTGTTAAACGATGATGGAGATGGATCTGTGCAAGTTCTAACAGAATAACTGTACCTAGGGCCTGAGTTCTAAGGTGAGGTAGTTTTTTAATTTGGCATTGGTCATTCTTTTTGATACTTCATCTTTCATTTGGTCTTACCTTTTACTGAGACTCAGTTCATAGGTCTTGTAAACTTCACAGCACCTTCTGGTGTACCTCTTTTTCAGCTAGTGGAACTCATTTTGGGTGTGCTGCTGGCCTGCTAGTAGTTCAGGCACTAGTTTTTAAGGAAGAAATCTTCAGACCTGCTTTTGCGTGGTTGGACTCCATTAGATGGGTCCTCTGAACTCTGTCTTTGGTTTTAATTTCAACTAAAGAGTGTAGTTTGTATGCTCTGCAGTTGATCTGAAGTGTGAGCCAAACAGTGATTCTTCTGATCATCCTTATCTAGTACTTCAAAGGCATGATCTTGATCCAAATTCAAACATTAATGTGGCTAGATCTGAACAATGTGCTTGCTGTGCTTTTTTACCAAGAGATGGTGAAGTCACATGTAATCTAATTGCTGATTTTTACCTAGGACCACAATATGTGCTCAGCTGAATGATTAAGGCTGCATCATCCTGAGGTGGTAGCATTAGGGAAGAAGAACACAGCTCTTTTTTTTTTTTTTTTTGTCCATCACTTGGGGAGTGAGGGGAAATGGTCCTTGGAAAATATTATAGAAAAACTTAACAGACTCTTTCTATTATAGCTTTTTTCTCAGGGTTATCTGTAAGGCGTTCTTGTATGTATTATAGCAACTTGAGACCTTTTGGAATTATTTGATTTATACCTAGATTGCTAGGCAAAGTATTACAGGTACAGTTGACGCTGTGAACTGACTGAATCTTTTGGTTTAATACAGTCGTTATGAATTTACAGCTGTTAATTATCTGAAAGTAAAAAGCATTTTACAAAAGGCTACACTCTGTTTCCATTCTGTTCAGAATCAACTGGTTGTTCCTTTATAACCTGCTTGAATTTATTCTGTGTAATGCTTTTTCTGAAGAACTCTTCACATACTGAAGGTTGATAAAGGAAGCAGGAGAATCTTGGTTCATTGGGTTTTGCAAGAGACGTGATCTGCTTGAGTAGCACGATGACTGAGAAATGCACAAGCAGTGCAGTGTAAACATACAATAACACTCTTAGGGAAGCTGCAGATTCTTCTTCTGTCAAAACCTATCGCAGAGTAAAGGAGAAATGTAAAATTCATTTGCCTTCTGAATAACTTTTTGAGTTCTGCAACACATCAGCCAGTTGCAGCTCTGCTTGTCAAGATGAGTGGTTTTTTTTTTTTTCCACAAAAGAAAAACTTCTGCTTCCTTAGGAAAAGGTTGCTTTTCTCAACCCTCTAAAGAAACATGGAGCTGTTTAGAATTACTCCTTGACAATTCTCTGCCATGGTTTGTAGGTCATCTGCTTTTGGATAGTGAAACAGTGTTTGTTGTTGTTGCATATTTTGTAGTGATGAGTAATATGAGTAATTTTAAGAGGTAATTATTTTAATTTTGAAAGTTTTGTTGCAACTGATTAACTATCACTTCTTTCTTTTTAGGATATATTTATGTTCATAACAAGGCAACTTAAGGGTTTAGAAGATACAAAAAGCCCCCAGTTTAATCGATATTTTTATTTGCTTGAGGTAAGCTTCATAACTTATTTCATAACAACTATGAAAATATAATTTTTGAACTTAATCTTGTACTAATTATTCCTTTGATTTTTTTTCCTGTCCAACACAGAACATTGCTTGGGTCAAGTCTTATAATATATGCTTTGAATTAGAAGACAGCAATGAGATTTTTACACAGTTGTACAGAACACTGTTTTCAGTAATTAAGTAAGTATTGTTACCTCCAATTATAATATATGATTGTGTGGTTTAGAGGTTTCTAACCAAGCTTAGTTTTGTAATTCAGTTTAACTAAGGGTAGCAGTGTAAACAAGCTGTCAGTTTTGCCTGCTTTAAGACACTACTTTTTTTTTTTTTGGAAGAAACTTACTTTGTTTTTTTACTGTTTATTTTATTCTGTTCTTGAAATGGAAAATGAATGGTGCAACATGAACTTCTAAGGAATTTGAAGGATTGTTGCTATAAAAACGTGAACCAGAAAACAGTGGACACTGGAAGGTACTGCTAGAGATAGTCTAGTCTGCCCCCCTTGCTAAAACCAGGGTCAGCTGAAGCAGGTTGCCCAGGAATTTAACCAGCTCTGTTTTGAGCGTCTCCAAGGATGGAGACTCCAGGGCCTCTCTGGACAATCACCCTGAAGGCAGGTTACACAGGAACATGTTCAGGAGGGTTTTCAGAGTCTCCAGAGAAGGAGACTCCACAGTCTCCCTGGACAGCCTGTTCCAGAGTTTAGTCACCCTCACAGTAAAGAAGTTTTTCCTTATGTTTAGATGGAACTTTCCAGTTTGTGCCGATTGCCCATTGTTCAGTCACTGGGCACTGCTGAAAAGGGTCTGGCCCCATCCTCTCAGCACCCACACTTTAGGTATTTATAAGTACTGGGAAGATCCCCTCTCAGTCTTCTCTTCTCCAGGCTAAATAGACCCATGTCCCTCAGCCTTTCTTCATAAGGCAGATGGTCCAGTCCCCTAATGATCCTTGTAGCCCTCTGCTGGACTTTCTCCAGTAGTTCCCTGTCTCCCTTTAACTGAGGAGTCCAGAATTTGTCACAGTACTCCAGATGGACCCTCACTAGGCCAGAGTAGAGCGGGTGTGACCTATTGGTCACACTCTTAATGCAGCTCAAGGTACCATTGGCCTTCATGGCTGCAAGGGCACAATGCTGGCTCATGGCTTCACACCTTGCTGAATGGCAGCACGGGCTTCCAGTGTGTCAGCCACTCCTCCCAGTTTTGTACCACCACCAAAGCTGCTGAGGGTACACTCAATGCATGTCCCTTCATCCAGGTCATTGATGAATATGCTGGACAAGTCTGGACCCAGCGGTGACCCTTGGGGAACACCATGAACTGCAGGCCTCCAGCTAGTCTGTGCTGCTGATCACAACCCACTGAGCTCTGTCATTCAGCTGGTTCTCAACACACTTCAGTGTGTACTCCTCTAACCCCTGCTTCCTGAGTTTCCTTATGAGGATGTTATGGGAGACAGTGTTGAAAGCCTTGCTGAAGCTGTACATTAGAAAAGTTTCTCTTTCTTATGTTTAAACAATGTTCTGTATTTCACCTTTGTGCCTGTCGGCCCTTTGTCCTGTCACTGGACATCACTCAGATGAGCCTGGCCCTGTCTTACTCCCAGCATCAGATATTTAAACCTGAGGAGAAGTTCCTACCTAAGCCATCTCTCCTTGAGGGTGAAAAAAGATGTCAGATCTCTTAGCCTCTCCTTGAGAGCTGTGCTAGTGCCTTATTCACCTTTGTGGCCTTTTGCTGGACTGACTCTAGGGTGCCTGTGTCTCTTGTGTGCTGGGAAGCCCAGGACTGGACGCAGAACCCAGATGAAGTCTCACTGGTGTTGAGTAGGGGGGAGAGATTTGGGATGTTCTAATAGACTATTTTTTCTTGGCAGGGACAGATGCAGTCCTCTTACTCTTTTACTACAGTAGTAACTGAAGAGGTCATGAGATTCAAGAACCTTTTAGAAAGTGGTATATGCAGCCAAGAAGCTTAAGGATTTTGGCTGCTGCAAACACGTGTGATTTAATGATGATATTCGGTGCTGTTTGGCGTCGGCATAGAGAGCACGCCAAACAGAGGTGGTACTTCATGTGAACAGTACTAAGAGTTCTTGTTTTTCATTTCAGCAACGGTCATAACCAAAAAGTACACATGCACATGGTTGATCTAATGAGCTCTATCATTTGTGAGGGAGATACTGTGTCACAGGAACTTTTGGATACAGTGTTAGTTAATCTAGTGCCAGCACATAAGGTAAGACTTAACGATGGCTTAATTTTTTTTTTCCAGTTGTGATTTGTTTGGTGTATGTATTCAGATATTCAGATCTCATTGAGAGAATAGCTGTAGCAAATGTGTTCCTATTGTATTTTTGTAGCAAACAAATTATTTTTAATCTCCAGAAAATTCAGTAGCGTTTTGTTGCTATGATTGTCTTGCAGTAAACCAAAATATAAGTGGTCACAATAATCTAAAAGCTTTAATGTCATGCCAATGTATATGCGTGGGTTTTACGTCCAGTCAGTACCAACAGACCAATGTAAATGACACATAGAAAGTGTCCTATAGATGAACTGGGGAAAAACTTGAAAGTTTGCATTTTGTTCTGACACTTAAATGTTTAAAAAGCAAGGAAGTCTGATTTGTTCCGAAAACTAGCTGGATCCCACTACAAACTCTTGGGCTACAAGTGTAGAGGACAACTTAAGTTGTGTATGAGATGAAACACTTCTGGGAAATAATCTAGGAAATTTATATTTAACTGGATGTTAGACAGTTATGGCTGTCATCTAAATTTAATTTATTTAGTGTGTTCAGGAAAGGGCTAACTTTCCATGTACTCATTAGAACCTACAGTAAGGTTAAGTGGGCTTCAGAATGCCTTTATTTTTTTTAACCTTAGTCTAACAATGGTGTAACAGAATAGACATCACAAGGTGCTCTCTGAAAAATATACAAAGCAGTGCAACATAGTGTGCACTACCACAAGGCATCAAGTTCAGTAAGCAAACAGCACATAAATTATTTTTCTATCAACAGTGGAAAGACTATAAAGGCTTTAGTATAGCTTAGTAGTTTGTTGGTTTTTTTTTCCACTGGAATTGTTTTAGCTGTGTCCTTC